TACAAACAAACCATGGCCAGGTGGTAAGGGTGCTCTACTCGCAATCTGCGGGTTCGAATCCCCCGTCCCACCAAACATGCTCGCCCTTTCAGCCGTGGGGGCGTTGTAATGTGACGGTCAATCCCACTATTCGTTGGTGAAAGAGTAGCCCAAGAGTTGGCGGTGGGTGGTGATGACTAGCTGCCTTCCCTCTAGTCTTAAACTGCTAAATTATGGACGGCTAGCGCAGATAGCCCTCGTGTGGCTTTACGCGAAATTAAAAAAACAAACAAACAAACAAAAGCATTAGGTTTAGGTTTATTAACAGATGAAGAAGGAAAAAAATCACTTTGCAGCTTGTTCGCTTCCTTAATCATTTAATTTTGAGAAATGGGAAATGTCTTGTATTATACATAGTTACAAGTTCTAAAGGTTGTTTTTCTCTCGGTAGGATAGAGGATTACAGTGTGCAGTGAATCAGAACGCTTCTTCAGGGTAATTACGTCAACTGTGAGATTAACCGTCAGAGTTCTTTCTCCTCCTAAGGGAGGAGCTGTGGGGTCAGCATCATCATGTGGCAGCAGGACACTGAAGTCAATTGGCAGGAAAGATGCCATGAACTTGAAAGGTCGTTACAGCATTTTCGTGAACAGGCGACAAGGATACGAGGACTACTTAAAGAAAAGGTAAGTCGAAAACTATTCATCCTTCACGTAAAACCTAATATTTATGACGAACAATTTAGAATATGCCATATATTTGTCTTTATCAAACATAATTAATATTAATTCTCACCCTGATTTATACAAACAAATAAAGCTGTAACTAATCATGGACAAATAAGCTCCAAGATGGAGAAAGAAAGAAAACAAATGTTTACCTGCAATTCCTGTGAAAACAAAAACAAACTAAAATTATCCTAATCAGTTCCGCCATGACCGCCAGGAAATGGTAGAGAAAAGAACATCCCAAAAAAAATACTGCTGGTGGAAAAAATTTCCTCAGGACTGATGGCTTTATTCAAATGTTTTGTGTATATATTTTTACCATCAGTTCTGTTTCACGTTCATTGCTATTATGTTCACTTTACGACACGATGAACTAATTTTTCTACACTTTAGTCCAAGTTATATCTAATTGATAGTTTTACATACGATTTTTAGGCTTACTGTGCTACTTGATTAATATATATTGCTTTCTTTAAGTAACTTCATTGAATATTACGATTTTTAGGCTTACTGTGTTACTTGATTAATATATATTTGATTTCTTTAAGTAACTTCATTGAATATTACGATTTTTAGGCTTACTGTGTTACTTGATTAATATATATTGCTTTCTTTAAGTAACTTCATTGAATATTACGATTTTTAGGCTTACTGTGCTACTTGATTAATGTATATTGCTTTCTGTAAGTGACTTCATTTGTGTTGTTTATAATTAAGGTAAAAGAAACACAATGTTTGGTTGCTTAAAACTCCTGAAGTCGGACGTTAGGTTAGTGGTTAGCGTGTTGAGTTGTGCATCCGAGGGTCCATGGTTTACGTCCCGTTATTGTAATAAATTAAAAAATAGCCGCACTCCGCTCTTTGCTTTATAAAAGTGAAAGTCAACTATTACTATTGGATTAGAGTAGTCCAAGAGCTTGTTGTGGATGCCGTTGATTGGTCTCCCCTTTTTAGTCTATCAGTTCAAAATTAGGGACGACTGGCAAATATCAGAAACAAACTTAAACTTAAAACTTTGGCGATAGGGTTGTGCGATATACGTTTTTTAAAACTGTGTATTCTTTTATCGTACAGCTATTTGGGAATAGGTTTGTAACGCACAAATAATTTTCAAGGTCGGATTTCCTAGTTGGAAGAAAAATACATTTGCCATTTTGTATTGACTTCATTCAAGGCGTTCATTCATAGCAATGTAATTCAGTACAACCGCACTTGAACGCGTTTATACGTTTGTTGTATAATCGCAACACGTTTCGCGTTTTTGACAGGCACTCTTTTTTTTTTTTCTTGTCTCGCGGTGACTCAGAGAAATCAAGAACTGTATTAAACACGCCAGAAGTGCCTACAGTTGCTGTCAGTGTTCGACCATCACAACTGTATTAAAAATTCCTTGTTTGTGCTGATGGTCACGTACCAAATGTTCATGACAATTGATGCAAATTTTATATGGAATAATAAAACGACAGCGATTTATTTTTTTAGGTCTCTATAATCGTTGATTAGAAAATGATTCTTGAGCTATTCAACAGTTAAAATCATAGAAAAAAACAACAACATTTATCAAATTATGATTATTGATGGCACGCATCTTGACTTGGTGAACCAAATGGGGCGATAACAGAACAGCTTACTCTCATTCTGTATGCTCAGTATATCATTATTAGAGATTTATTATTTAATTAAGTATAACAAAATCAGTTTAGATTTTAGACTTTTGGTGACTTACCCGTTCAGCTTTCCAGGACATTAAATTTACTTAATTTTAATAGCTTCAAGAATATTGGTATATTGTTTTGAAATGGAAATTGAAATTGTCTATTATGGTACTTTTTTTTATACAGTAAACTTGTATTTAAGTCTTTTTGAGACGTTTTTAAATGTCGTGCTTTAATATAAGTTTCGTTTCGACTAGTAATTTAATTAATGCAGTAATTTTATAGGATATATCTTGCAGTTTGGATAAGTTATAGCCATTTTGAACAAATAATAAATATAACATAAGCCCTCTTTCTGGATTAGGGGATCGAGTTAGTTAACTTGTAAATATTAAATATACTTACATACGTGTCATTGGTTTTGATCCTAATTGAAAACTAACCTTTCTTTTGTACCCCCTCCTATCGAAGAACTTGGAATTTTATAAAATGTAAACACTTGTACGCATCGGTTAAATTTCAAATGAATGACAACCATAACTGCCATTTTAAAGAATGTTTTATAAATTCTTTGAAATATTTTGGAAGTGAACAGAGGCCATGGGCTTTGTTGTTTTCAGGGTCCCTAATAATATACGAGTCTCGTAAGACATACCATCAACAATACAACTAATTACTATCTGCGCATAGCCGGTTTGAACTGATAGACTAAAGAGGAAGCAGCTAGCCAACAGCACTAACCGCCAACTCTTGTGTGACTGAATAGTAGGATTTGATCATCGCTTTTGTTACTGAATAGTGGGATTCGATCATCGCTTTTCATACTGAATAGTGGGATTCGATCATAGCTTTTCTTACTGAATAGTGGGATTTGATCATCGCTTGTCTGATTGAATACTGGGATTTGATAATCGCTTTTGTTACTGAATAGTGGGATTTGATCATCGCTTTTCATACTGAATAGTGGGATTCGATCATAGCTTTTCTTAATGAATAGTAGGATTTGATCATCGCTTGTCTGACTGAATAGTGGGCTTTGATCATCGCCTTTCTTACGGAATAGTGGGATTTGATCATCGCTTTTCTTACTGAATAGTGGGATTCGATCATAGCTTTTCTTAATGAATAGTGGGATTTGATCATCGCTTCTCTGATTGAATAGTGGGATTTGATCATCGCTTTCTTACTGAATAGTGGGATTCGATCATCGCTTTTCTTAATGAATAGTAGGATTTGATCATCGCTTGTCTGACTGAATAGTGGGATTTAATCATCGCTCTTATAACACGCCAAGAGCTTCAAAGTGCGGAGTACTCTTTATTTCGGCAAATAGCCGCGAACCACGAATCCTCGGATTCACAGTCCGAACATGCTAATCACAAGGCCACGCCTGGCTCATTTTACATAGAAAATGAGTGAGTTCGCCAGTGTTCTGAATTAGTAAACCGAATGTCGTAATAGGCAAAAGTGTTCAATATTTGGACCATAATCGGTAGTGAATGGTGAAAAAGCAAATTGATAATTTGAGAGTTACACTTAATAGTCCTTTTTCCCCCAGAGAAAAAGGGACATATTATATTTCCTATGTTTTTCTTTTTCTTTCCAACCTGCAATTACAACTGTGCGCCACTCCTTTGTTCCCTTGCCGATCGTCTTGAAATTGGATGGCGTGTATGTTGGGCAAATACGCCCAGATTATGTTTTAATTTGTTTAATTTATGCCACAATTTCGATATTAGAAAGTCAAAGATCAAGCATTACAAAAACTCACATTTTTGCCTGCATAAATCCAAATATGGCTTGACACAAAAATACTTTACGACAACCCCAGTAGAAAAAGTCGGACATATTTGGGATTTATGCTTTTCTTTTGATTTTACAGAAATCAAACGTAAAATAAAAACGCAAAATTAGGACTTATGGCATGATATTCCTCCATATTTCGACCAATCCAGACTCAATCTAATCTCACTATTCGTTGTTAAAAGAGTAGCCAAATAGTTGGCGGCGTGTGATGTTAACTAGCTGGCTTTCCTCTAGTCTTTTACCGCTAAATTAGGGACGGCTGGCGAAATTAAAACCAAACCAAACCCTCTGAAGTAAACATGTTGTAGTTGATACTCCGTTCCCCTGCCTTGAATTATTGATGTTTTTTTAACATTATCGCTAAGTGCTAGTACATTACGGAACAAAGGGGATCATCCCGAGCCGGACATCAGAAATACAGCGCAGTTATTTTGTTTTCTATACATAGCCCCCTTCTCCTTCCAGTGGCACAGCGGTAAGTCTGAAGGCGTATAACTCTAAAAACAGGATTTCGAAATATGTGGTAGGCACAGCACAGATAGCCCATTTTATAGCTTTGTGCTTAACTAGAGACAAACACAATTTTAAACATACGAAAGAAAAAAAATGAGCTCGTTATTTGAATCATTATTTATACCGGCAACATTATCACATTTTGATCCAAATGACACAGTTGGTTTAACCTATTTATTGATTAGAAGTATCGAGCTATACATGACAAAATTTCTTTCTTTTTTCAGAATCCTAATGGCAAAAAAAAAAAAAAAACCAGTGTGATAGATTCAGTCATATCAATTGGTTAACTAACTAAAATGTTATTCCAGACAATCACGTGTATATTAGTGTTACACAAAGCTTTTAAGACGCTTTTAGCTCATCGATTGTTTAACGGCTGTATCAGCTGAGACATTAGAAACTGAATGGCCATTTCAAGCTTAGCAGCTGTTTCTAATGAGAAGAGGCAGAACTTTACCTTATGTGGTGTTTGTTCATATTCCTGCCATTTTCTGTATCACTTCTCCTTTTACAAACTTTACACTAATATAATTTCACCACGATTTGTCGAGTGAAATGTTGTTTCAAACATAGTGTTAACAATAATTTATGTCGGATTTCAAACATAAAAAAAGTCACGTTTTTTCGTTTTCATGGAAGTAATTGAGAACAAATTCTATAGAATTATTGTAATATTTATCTTGTATTAAAGATGCTTGCTTTGTTTTTAGGGCTTAGCGGTTATATACTAAACTCGCGCCCCCTAGTGGCACAGCGGCATGTCTGCGGATTTATACCGCTAGAAACCGGGTTTCGATACCCGTGGTGGGCAGAGCCACAGATAGCCCTTTGTGTAGCTTTATGCGAAATTCAACAAACAAACAATACAGTGTTCTTTTGATCACTGAACAGCGAGATAAATTTTTAAATGTTGTTCTTCAAAAAAAGACACTATTATGTTTCTTTTGAATAATGAGAAATACAAAAGAAAAAATATTTTTC